TGGGTCTACAGACATTGGGTAAAAAGACAGAAATAGGTCATTCACAGAATACAAATAGCCAATAAGCTGTTAAAAACATTATCAGCCCCACTGGTACTGAAGAGATGCAAATCAAAATCAAATTAACAGACTATTGTGATCCTTTGGAACCCTATCCCCCAAGTTACCCAGAAGAGGGCTTCAGGTTTCTTCTTTGTGGTAATCAAGCAATCCCAATGACCTCCAAACACCAAAATGGGGTGGGGTGCCAGACAAGGCACTTTAAATGTTTCCAGCACTAGATTGTTTCATGGCTGAGTTCTATCCAACCTATAAAGTGATCATTCCAGATCGTGGGAAAAGATGAAAATCTCCCAAATTCATTTTATAAAGGTAAAATTATCTTAATGCCAACATCTGACAAATGATATAGAAGAAGAAAATTGTACCCTGACTGGTGTGGCTCAGTTGGTTGGGAATCGTTTTTTACAATAAGCTTTTTATAGCTGTGCTTGCTTTATGAGGAAATAAAAACCTCTGGAATTGGGCAAAAATTCTTGGGAATAACCAGCAAAGGTCTTGGAGATTATCTAAACCAATATAAAACTGTAACTGAAACATTTATGATCCAAGTATGTTCGTGCCTTTTACAAGCTGTTTTCTAAGCCGTTAAATGTTTACACACACACACACACACCCACGGCCCATGAAAAAAGTTAAAAGAAAAAATTATTAGATCGTATTCTCCTTTTTACCACTGTTCTTTACTAGTGGTACATTTTACCTAAGATAGATGGTTTATGCTTTTATGTTCCCCATGGTCCCCTTGTAACATTTAATTTTTCTTCTGTTTTTACATAATCGATGCTTTATGTAAGTACTAACAAAGAGACTTATCTGTGCCTACACAGTGTAAACCTCATTGCAAGATATTAAGAAACAAAGTAAAAAGGAATACAAGCCATCACTCCACCCACCATCCCAAGTGAGTTTTATATTCACATCTATTTGTGAAGCATGGTGGTTCTTAAAGCCCCAGGCAGAATACTAATAAAATGATTACTGCATCATGAAAATTATGGTCATGCCCAAAGCTTTAACCAATTTTATGGAAATATGCAACCTCCAAAAATGTTACAGGATCTAATTTTTTTAAAGCTACGGTAGCCCTGGCTCGTGTGGCTCAGTGGACTGCGCGCCAGCCGGCGAACTGAAAGGTCATGGGTTCCATTCCCTGTCAGCATCCATGCCTGGGTTGTGGGCCAGGCCCCCACTTGGGAGTGTATGAGAGACAACAGATTGATGTTCTCTCACACATCAATGTTTCTCTCCCTCTCTTCCCCTCTCTCTGAAAATAAAAAATATTTAAAAAAATAAAAGCTAGCATAAATTTACCCAGCAGAAAGCCTTCTTTGTAATCTTTTTTACATTATCATTTGCAGACAGACACAGTGATGGCTAAATAAAACTTTATTACCTGCCTTTGGGATCTCAACTTCCCATGTGTCCTTTACTTACCATTTGCCCACTTTCCCTCTTCTGCGTTGCCATCACCCAGCAGGGACGGTAGCTGAGATGTGGAAAAATGAGAATTTCCCAACGATGACAGATTATGTGCTCAATAATTTCTCATCTATTCATATTTGTTACTGTGGTCTATTTTGATATGAGGCAATATGCACAAACTAAAAAGGCATTAAGACAACTGCCAAACTAGACATCAACCATGTGTCCCTACAACCACCCTACTATGTAAACTGTGGGGTTAAGCTCAACAACACACTGACTGCACTTACCTTGTTGATCAGAAATAGTTAAAGTAAAACAACAGAGGTATTAAATCTCAGCTACTCAGGATACAGTTGGAATATTATTAGTTTTAGTTTTGGTATTCTTCTTATGAATGTGTCTTTTGTATCACGTTGGAAACGTACGTCAAATCACATAAGAAAATTAAAATGACTAAAACCAGTCAGAGTAAATCTAGCAGATTACATGAAAGTTTAATGTGACAGTATTGGTATTTTGTAGGCTCTCTTATAAGGTTCCCTTATACATTTTGCTGTAACAAGTAATCAAATAATGTATTAACTAGCCAAACTCTATGTATGATATCAGAAAAAACAAATAAAACTATTTTCAATGTCACTATTGTAATCTAAGTTGCTTTCCATACAACTCTGTGACTATCAAGTCATACATGATACACAGCTCTTCACCCACACACTGATCCTCAGCCTTGTCCTAAATATAAAACAGGCTCCTTAGAACCCTGTTTCTCAAACTGTGGGCTGAGACCTGTTAGTGGGTTATAAAATCAATTTAGCTACCATGAGCAATGAGACAGAACAGGGAAGCAAATATCAACATGCATCAAATTATGGTAAGTGGCTGCCTTAAAGTGTTGCTTGTTATCTGTATGCAGGCACACATATAACTGAGTCCTTAATGTAAAATGGGTTTCTTACTAAGAGACACTGCCAAAAAAGTTTGAAAAAACACAGCCTTATTGGAAAAGCCTCCAATCCTGGGGCCGGGACTTGGGACTGGAGGTGTTTGGGGCACGCACTTGTGGAGGCCGGGCTGGTGGTACTGGCCAACAGTACACAGGGGTGTGGAGGGAGGAATTGATGGAGTAGTGACGGTTTGTGGGATACGATGATTGCAAGGAAGGTTTAAGGAATGAGTTACTAATTCAAAGCAATAAACCCTCCCCCCAAATATAGCCCACATCTCTGGGCTCGGCATTCGCCACCTTTCCCAGCCAGATTGCAACCTCCCTTTCCACCCCATCTCTTCTTTGCCCTGCCCTTTCCCTTTCCTCCACCCAACACACCACGCCCCTCTGTGAACCAACAGCCTTTACATCCTCTGAACCTGTTCTCTCTTCCACCTGAAAGACCTCGCCTTGTGAATACTACAGCATTTGGCCATGCACCTGCCGGCTAGGTGACTGGTGGTCTCCCTGTTGGAGTAATACCACTGCCCTCTCCCCACTTACGGGTGGGGCCGTGTTTTGCTCACTGCAGCTCCCTGGCTTGCTTGGCATCCTACCTTGCATTCAGTAGGCTCTCCATAGTTTTTTTAAAAACACATTTCAGATGTTTAAATAATTGTTATAAAGGTCCAACATGCATCCTGAATCAGTGCCGCTGTGGCAGCTGGGGGAAGTTACTCAATTGTTGGGTGCATGGAGTGACTGCTAATGGCCTCATGTGATTTCATTGCTTTGAGAGACAAAGGAAGGGAGAGAAATATCGATGCAAGAGAAGCATTGATTGGTTGTCTCTCATACCGGGGATCGAACTCGTAACCTAGGTATGTGCCCTGACCAGGAACTGAACCCTCAATCCTTCAGTTATGGGATGGTGCTCCAACCAACTGAGCCACACTGGCCAGGGCATCGGCCCCTTTTCTGAGGCTCGTTTGAGTCAAGGATTCATGAGGCCATGTAGGGCTCATTGGTTTTAATTTTAAGCTTTCTGTTACGGGAAATTTTAAACATGTATAAAAATAGATGAGAATAACCTCCATGTAGCCATTATTCACCTTTAGTAACTTTTCTACTCATGGCCAATCTTGAAAATAAACGTTTTTTTAAAAGACAAGTTGCCTCCTATGGCTCCCTAACCACAAACTTGTCAATAACAGGCTTTGAAGTTGCATAAAAAAGACAAGTTGCGATAGAACCAATCTGAACTGGACTGGACTTTACTGGGAGCAAGTAGTATCAAGAAACCTGCTGGGTTGGGCTATGAAGATGAGGTATGCAAAGCAAGCCTACCAAGCATTTTATAACTGGAGAGTTACAAAAATAAAAGCTTTTGTGACTGGCTGCAGTCAGCAGTCTAGGCAGCAAGCCCCAACCTTTCTGGCACCAAGGACCTGGGGTGTGGAAGACAGTTTTTCACCCAGTGGAGGGGAGGACGGTTTTGAGATGATTCAAGTGCATTACATTCAAGCGCACCTCTTGCTGTGCGGCCCGGTTCCTAACAGGCCACGGACCAGTACTGGTCTGTGACTCGGAGGCTGGGGACCCCTGGTCTAGATTTCCTGATACAGGGGGGAAATCTAACTATAAAAGAGGGGCCACAAAACGGATAAAGCGCTCAGGCAGGATCACAGTGAAGTACTGGGTCCCTAGTTCTGATTCACCATCTTTCAGTCATATCTACATTGTCAGATACCCGAATAATCACCCTGGTGATTATTCTCTGGAAGAAATAAAAATAGAGCTAGTGAATAAGCAAATGTAAATCCATGGTATGGAAGCATTTATTCATGTATTGAATCAGTTTATTATATATGTACATATCAGTAATGTAATCACTTTAATACTATGTAGGTCTGATCTCCTGTCTTTTTTTAAAAAATATTTTATTTTTTTTATTTTTAGAGGGGGGAAGGAAGGGAGAGAAACAACAGTGTGTGGTTGCATCTCATGTGCCCCAACCAGGGACCAGGCCTGCAATCCAGGCATGTGCCCTGCACTGGGAATCGAACTGGCGACCCTTTGGTTCATAGGCTACTGCTCAGTCCACTGAGCCACACCAGTCAGGGCTTTTTTCTCTTTTTAATCCTCACCCGAGCACATTTGTTTTTTCATTGCTTTTATTTATAATTTTTAAAAAAGATTCTATTTTATTTTTTAAAGGTTTTTATTTATTTTTAGAGAGGAAGGGAGGGAGAAAGGGAGACAAACATCGATGTGCAAGAGAAACATCCATTGGTTGGTTGCCTCTCACAGGCCCCCAACCAGGGACCTGGCCCGCAACCCAGGCATGTGCCTTGACTGGGAATCGAACCACCAACCTTTCACTTCGCAGGCCGGTGCTCAATCCACTGAGCCACACCAGCCAGGAATGTTTATGTTATTTTTAGAGAGACAGGAAGGGAGGAAGAGAGGGATCGAAATATCGATGTGAGACAGAAACACTGATCCATTGACCTTCATATACACCCCAACTGAAGATCGAACCTGCAACCCAGGCATTTGTCCTGACTGGGAATCATACCAGCAACCTTTAACTTTGTGGGACTAGGCCAAACCAACTCAGCCATATCGGTCAGGGCAATTTTTTCATTTCTTTTAGGGAGAGAGAGGAAGCGGGAGAGAGAGAGAGACCTCATGCAAGAGAGTAGCATTGATTAGTTGCCTTCTGTAGGCACCCAGACTGGGGACTGGCACCAGGGCCAGGGATCACATGAGTCTGGACCAGGGGTCACGTGCTTCCATGCCCAGACCTGGCACTGAACCTGCAACCTTTCAGTTGTGGGATGCCGCTCCAGGTGCTCTATTTTTTAAGGTACAAAAGCATTTAAGATAATTTCATATATCAAATTTGGGGACTTTAAGTGCTAACACGTACTTAAATAATTATTAATGTTTAAATGCTTGAAAAATTGTAAATGGGTAAACCTGAAAGTTTTATTAGTTATGAAAGCAGTTTGTACATATTTAGAAAAATGTTATTTATTACTATTGGAATAATTGCTCATTTGATAAATTTATTAGATTAGTAGATGGATCACTAAATAATGCACAAAGGGTTATAGGATTCTCCCTCCACAGTAAGCCCTTGGAACACAAAGAATCTCAGGGCACACGAGGAATCGATGTGCCTTTTCCCCACTCCTGTCCTGTGGGCAGTGTCCTGGAGCGGCTGTCAAAACCGTCTTGCCACCTGGATGGCAGTGGCTGAAGACGGTTGAGGGAAAGGATGGAAGAGACCTGTGGAACCGCTGTCTTGGTCTGTAAGAAGCCCCTTCCGGTGGGGATTGTAATTACTTGCAACCTTATGGCCTGCCTCTGCACCTCACCCCCACCTCCTTCACTGGCTCTCAACCATGGCTGCACACTGAATCTCCCAGTGATGCTCTCGGGGTTCCACCCCAGAGAGTCCAAGTGAACGAGTCTGGGGTTAAGTCTGGCATGAGACTGCTGGAAACTCCCCATGTGAACTAATGAGCAAACGGGGCCGAGAACCACGACTCTAGGTCATTGCTTCTTCTCCCTTTGGAAGTTTACGCTTTTATCTCAGACTGTGGGTACCTACATCTGTTCCTTCCCTCTCCTACTAGATTGTGGGCTCCCAGATGGTCTTCCAAACAATGCACGTGGCCCTTCCCAGCTCTGGGTGACTCCAAGTGCCCAGTGCTGACAGAAGTAGCAAAGTCATGCCTGACTTGGAATTTAGGTTCCATAGTTAACGCTTATGACACTAAATGAGCCAAAATCACCCTTGACAACCCCTTGGGAAGGCCCTGCCCTGGAGCCTGATGTCCTGCCTCCCCTGCCCATCCCCACCGAATTTCCTCCTGGGCCAGAACAGAAAGATGCTGTCTCCACCACCAGGCATCGGAGGAAGCAGGTGGTTCATGTTTAGGGGCCACCTTGCCTAAGAGATACACATTTAAACACATGCCTCGCCCTCAGCATAGCAGTGTGCTCATGCCATGAACAGCCCACAGGAACCAGAGTGGCTGACCCTACAGGAGACACATATCTCCCATCTCACACCCACTGCCGAGCATATGGTCCTCACACCCACTGGTGGGTGGAATCACCCACGCCATTTAGACTTTTTGTCAAAAATACAGAGCCGAATTCATGTGACGTGCTGTGTGAAGCAATGCCCCTCCATGGTACAATTCCATACAGCTCAAACCGGTCCTCCCCTTCCTTTGACCTGCCCCACAAGGAGCTGGCCCAGCATCTTGCCCTCCCTGACCTCCCTGTCCTTGCCCTTAAAGGCTGATGTTCCCTAGGAAGCTTCCCTTGGCGCAGCTCGTTAACTCTCTTCTCAAGGACTCTCAGCCTTCCTTAGGGCCCCCGAATCCACACAAAAAGTGGTGAGACCTCCCACTCCAGTCAGAGGAGACGTGGCCCAAGAGGTTCCTCACTCTTGCTCTGCGAAGACGGAAGGAAGGAGAGGAAGGCCTCCTCCAGGCCTTGGGAGCCTGGCTTGCAGGGAACGAAGGAACAGTACATGCTCAGTTTTTTGTTTTGGTTTTTTTTGAACAAATGAATGAATGTTTGCTAAGGATGAAAATTCCATCTGCTTTGGTAGGCTACTCCACGTCCCCCGCCCCGACCTCACCCCTAGTATGTCTGAGGCTTAGATTTTTACCTGCTCATTTGGGATCCCAGGCCAGGCCTTCTGCCACACCAAGCCACACCAAGCTCAGCAGTACTCACAGGCCTTTAATCTAGAACTGCCTGGCCACACTCCACCAATGCCCTAGGATGGTGGCGAGGGATAAAGAGGTAAGGTCAGGTAGGCCGTCCCAGCTCTGAGCCCAAGCGAGAGGGGCCAGGTCAGGCTGGGGCCTGGGCAGGGGGCTCCCGGCCCCAGGAGATGAGGGAGTTGCTGGCCTGGGCAAGCTCAGCGATGGACACCCGGCCCCGCTGCCGGATGAAGTTAGCCACAGCAGCCAGTTCCTCCGGGGTTATGTAGATGAACTTGCCCCTGTCGTCAATCACACCTGCGGGGACACACAGGTTGTGGAGCTGAGTCTTCTGGGCCTTGCCCACCTGGCCTGAGAAGGCCCTCCCACCCTTCACAACTGGCTCCGAGTCCTGCAGGTGTGCCTGGCCTTTCCCGGCAGCACCCAATCCTGGCTGGGTGTCGAATCAGGCTTTCTTGCCCATCCTGGTCACCCTGAGCCACCCCCAGGCCTCGGCATGTCCTCCTTGTAACTGTGTCCCCTGCTCAGTGTCCCTCATTGCGCACTGCCCCCCCACCCACCCCCGCCGTGATCACACTGCCTCTGCAACAAGTCCCTGGAGCCCCCTGTGGCTAGACAGTCTCCAAGGCCAAGCCTGTAGTGACTGAGTCTCACCCCCTCACCTGTCAGAGTCCCCTCGGCCAGCAGATCCTGAATGCGGTTTATGGTGTCCTGTGAGGAGGGCAATTCTCAGAGCAGGGATGGGCGCTGCTGTCTCCATAAAAGGCACCTGCAACCTCCATGCCACCACAGCCAAATCTTCTCCTCCCCCTCCCCTGGCTGCTCCCCCCTGCAAAGTGACTCTGTGCTTCTCCTCTGGCCCTGCGGCCCTGCGAGACCCCCAAGAGAGGTGTTTTTCCAACCAGAAGAGGAGCAGTGGTGACATTTGGCCATGAAGGCTGGTACAGCTTGTTTGCGAGAGTTGTCAAGGTAACTGGGTTTTGGCTGTATTGGTTACAGGGGCTGCTGGAGAGATGGGACTTTTTCTTTTCTTCCCTGCCTGTTCCTCCATCTAGGAGAAAGGCAGGATTCTGGGAATGCTGGGAGCCCTACTCTCTGCTCCCACCTGGTTGGGCGCAGGGTGGAGGGAGCATCAAAACTCTCCATCTTTAGCGTGGGCCCCCCTCTGACAACCACACAGATCCCATGGCCACACTCCAAACGAAAGGCCACCTTCCAGGGCTTACCTGAGTCCGCAGGCCCACCTGGGAAGCCAGGTCTTCCAAGAGCACAACCTTGGACTGCTACAAAGAGCAGGAGAAAAAGGAGAGAGACTGAGTGGGCAAATCCGTCTCAGCACAAACTGAGGTTTACATTCTGATCTGATCTGCTTTGGGCAGCTGGGTAACACTGTAGATTCCTGTGGAAGAGCCTCGATCCCTTCACACACTTGCTCACACACTCTCCCAACCACCTATATACAGAGACCCACACACTCAAACTCTCCTTCCCCTGGTTGTAGGGAGGTATCCGGCTAAAACCGCCACCTGGCCCACAAGCCCCATCCTGGACTGGGGACACGGACACGGACACACACAAACACGCACACGCACACAGCTGAGCATAGCTGCCACCTTCTCCTCTGTAGCCAGCTGTATATTTTTAACATCATGGACAGGCTGGAAGGGGAAGCTCCATAAGATGAAGGGAGGGGGTGACACAGTCACCAAAAGCTATGTTAAAAATCTGTCACCAGAATTTGTGTTTGCTAAGGACCTGCCAGGACAATGCACTGAGAAGATGGGGTGTAGGCAGTGGTGACCAAAACCTAGCCTCCAGCTCACGGCCAGGCAGGAGAGAGCGCAGAGAGAAGGACCCAATAAGCAGGGCTCCCAGCAGAGGCGGTATGGCTCATGCCCACCTTGCTTTTGCTTACTGCCCAGACCTGGAAATCTCCACACTTCCTTTCTCCATCCTCTTCACACCATCCGAGGCACTGGGCCCACCCTTAAAATAACCGTTGCTAACACTCTCAGTGCTTTCTGTGCACAGCCATTTCCCACGTGCTTCCCTCAAACCCTCAGCAGAAACTTTCGTTCAGGGGGTGCAGCTGAGGGACCTCATGCGTCTGCCCCTGCCTCCCCCACAGACAGCATATGACTCGAAAGAAGGCTGTCTTTATGTTCCCGTGATTCTTTCATAGCAAATGAGCTGGGGGAGGAGTGACATGGTGACACCTCCTGGGCTGAGATGGCATGTGACCGTTCTAAATGCCAAGCAGAATGTGCAAGCAGGGAGGCGAGCGAGCGGCAGTTGGAACAGGGGACGGGCGAGTCCAAGGTGACCTGGCCAGCTGGCCTCTGCCTACAAGGGAGGGGGCGGGTGCTGGGTTCTCAGAGACAGCTCAGAGTGGGAGCAGGAAGCCACCCCAGGTGGTGCCTTTAGACCTAGTCTGACGGGTGTCAGCGCCAAAAGCGTGCTTGGAAAAACAAACCAACCAACCTAGCCCTTATCAGAAAGAAGAGTGGACTGACCAACAACAACAAGCCAGACTACGCCTCACACAAACTATGCTGGGTGCATAATTGTGCCACCAGCTCTGAAATCCTAAATAAAAGGACCCACCCCCTTGGAGCCAGGAAGGTGGGTGGGCTGAATTTTGAAAGTCCTCCTTTTCCCTGCAGACAGGAGCTCTGGGAAAATCAGACAGGACAGGCTGGAAAGACCTCTAAGGTCCAGAAGAGCTTGGAGAACCCCCAGAAAATGGGTCCTCCAGAGCCACTAAAAGCAAGGGGCCTTTTCTCAGGTTGCTGTAGACGCTAGAGGATAGGGGGAGCCAAAGCTGATGGAGGAGGGCTGGAGGAAACACACAGGACCATGTTGCTGCCCACTGGGTAGATGGGGACAGAAAGTTCCAAACAGCAGCAGGGACACGTGAGCAGTCCTGCCCGGGCCACAGCCCTTAGTCCCATGTGCCAGGGTGGAGAACAGGCTCCGTCGAGGGGAGTGGGCACAGCCTGAGGAAGCTTCCTTCCTCCTGGGAAACCCCAGCCCCTGGTTGCTGGGAGGCATCTAAACCCTGCTCCCTTTTGGGAGGTGGGAGGAGGATTATGCAAGCCCTGGCTCCTTGGCACCCCCTAGTATCGCCCCCACCCCTACCCCCGCTACCTCTGTACTCATTCCCTCAGCCGCCTCTGCACCTCAGAGCTGCACTTGAAAACCTCTCGCATCCTTTGTGGGAGAAGGGAAGTTGCTTAGCAGCAAAGCGGAGCAGGACAGTGCTTATGCTTATGCAACCCGGAGCTGCACCGGGGCGGCCTGCAGACAGAAGGGGACACACCTGCCACCCTGCCCTGGATTCCAAAGGAAACAGCACTGTTTCCCCCCTCACCCCCTCAAGACCCAAGTTCCCGGTCAGGAACACGTGGCAGGGGATGCTTGTTTCAAGTCAGAGGAGCCTCAGTGTGACAGAATCGACAGAAAACACATGCGAAGAAACTTGAAAACACAGTGACTCACTGAGCGTGGGGTCTGAAGAACAGAAAAACTGTCAAACGCTGCGTGTGAGGAAGGAATCAAAGGCTCACACCTCCCACACGGACCCAGGTCCTTCTCCACCCTCGGGGTCAGGAGAAGACTCTCCTGGCCAGGAGCCCAGCAGTTCAGCCCCTCTCGGTCCTGCTGCCCACTCCTGCCTGACCTTGAGTGTAACTCCTGCAGCCCGTGCTCGGGTCAGCTCTCCTGAGAACATGCACGACGCACAGACACACACACACGAGGCAGGAAGCTGATACCGGGATCTGCTCTTTGGCTCCTTACCTTAATGTAGTTGACGAACTCTGTCAGGAAGCTGTGGGACTAGAGGAGCAAAGAAAGCAGAGTGAGTGTCCCTCTTGCCGAGGCTGCAGGGGTCTATGCCTACCCACCTGCCCAGCCGGGTGCCACCCGCCTGTGTGCCTGCCCGCGTGCCCGCCCAACCGCCTACATGTACCACCTGCCTTGGCAGGCAGCACGGCCTCCCACGGTGAGGCTTTTGGAGGCACCTCTCCTAAGAACAAGGCCTCTCAACCCTGCAGCCTGCTGGCCACCATGCCTGCCCCTCCCTCGCTGCCTGGCTGGGGAGGCAGGCGAGGAGCAGCAGGGTGTCTGGGAGGCAGTGGCCGGCCTCGGGTCTGCCACGGGCCCGCCTTGGTGGGGACAGCAGCATTTCGCAGGAGTGGCAGGCCCACCTGCTCCTCGGTCATGGACTCGCCCACACCCTCCTCCTCCACCACGAAGGCCTCCTTCAGCTTCAGGTACTCCTCATGCTCCCGCTGGGCCTGCTCCTCGCGGGCTTTCCTCTCCTCCTCCTCCTGGGGACAGAGTGGGCAAGAGTCAGGTATCTGGGCACGGGTGCCCACCCCATCCCTGGTCTGGTCCTTGCTGGTCATACCCCTCAGCCCTTTCTCAGGGACAGAGCTCCTTCAGGACCCCATCCCTCTGGCCCCCGCACTGAGCAGAAGGCAGAGGCTCCACTTCTCATGAGTTCCATAACCTCCCAGACAAATGCTGCTCAGCCTCCCTCTCCTCAATGCCCTGCCACAGCCCCACCCACAATACCCTTCAGCCGCCCACCCTGCCATCTTGTTCAAACACACACGGGGGTCCATTTCCTCACCATCCACCCATTCTCCGCTGTGGTCCGCTCTAGCCTGGCCTCTGCATACTGGGCTCCTCTGGAACAACTCCTGCTATGGCCTCACCCATCCCCTTAATCCCACCCAATCCGAGGGGCAACCACCAGGCCTCGCATCCCGTCCCCTCAGTGGCACTGGGCAGAGCTGACCACTCCTTCTTCCTTCCCTTGGCTTCCAGACGCCACCGTCTCCTGCACTTCCTCCAGCTCCTTGCGCCACTGTTCCCGCCTCCTCCATCACTCAGTCCTGCCCCTTCTCCCACTTCCACTCTCTCTCGGGGCTCGTGGCATCAACAACCATTCCCTTGCCAGTGACTGCCACAGCTGTGTCCCTGCCCAAATCTCCACTCCCAAGCACACAACCATCCACAGGACACACCGACTGGGCCATCACAAAGGTGCCTCAAACTGAATTACGTTCCAGAAAGACCCTGTGATCTACTCCCCACAGGTCTGGTCCTCCTCCTGGGTCCCTGGCTCAGTGAGTCACACAGCCACCTGGCCAGCGGCCCCAGCCGGAAGTGAGGTCCCAAGTACCACTTCTTCAACACCCAGAAAGCTTCAGTCCATCCATGTCACTCCACCACCACCGCCACCACCTAGTACGACAGCCTCCCCCAACCTAACCCATCTTCCAGAGCTCTCAGACAGATATTTTTAAAACATGAAGCTCAAGCTGGGGCAGGAAATATACAGGATGAGCCGGAGCATCTTGCAGCGCCAACAGTGAGAAAACAATGAGAGCATGTCAAAGGTACGCAGGAGCCAGCTGAAAGAGCTCCTGATGGCCAAAGCTGGAACAATCTCAGCAACAAAATAAAACAGTATTGGATTATAAGACAAAGTACAAAATAAATAGTCATAAGTCCATGTGGATAAAAATAAACAACTGAATGTATAAATAGAGAAGAAAAGGTCAATCTTCTGCACAAAAGAGTTCCAAATACTTTTGTGGATGCTCTCCTCTCAAGGAAGCAGAGCATAACTCCCCACGCCTGAAGCGTGGGCTGTGCAGTGACTTGTTTCTGAAGAAGTATGGGAAGGGGAGAGTAACATTACGGTGGAGAAACTGACAAACACCCTGGGCGATCTAGGTTTTAACATCACTAGTGGCAAGTGAAGCTGATAACACGTACCACTTATACACTGTGTTGAAGAAGGCACTTCACATGTGATCTTCCTCCCAGAAATCCATAACCTCAGTCTAACCATGAGAAAAACATCAGCCAAAATTGAGGAACATTTTACAAAATACTGTATTATGTTGCATGTAACATGCACTTTTTTGCCCACATTTGAGGGAAAAATGAGGATGCCCATTATACATGGGTAGTACTAATTTTGTATATATAGAAATGTTTTTAGTTCTTTTATTTATGCTTCTGCATTAAAAGTGTAACTCTAGAAAGTAGTAATGATATCTGTATGCAAAATAATACCCTGGAATACGATGATCAGTTTTGTTTCCGAATATAAATAAATAAAAAACTGAATTAAGAACTTAAAATGAACCCTGGCTGGTGTGGCTCAGTGGATTGAGTCCCGGCCTGCGAATCAAAGGGTCAGGGTCCCAGCTCAATTCCCAGTGCAGGGCACATGCTTGGGTGGCAGGATAGGTCCCTGGTAGGCGGCGCACAAGATGCAACCACACATTGATGTTTCTCTTCCTCTCTTTCTCCCTCCCTTCCCCTCTCTAAAAATAAACAAGTAAAATCTTAAAAAAATAAAAATTAAAACAAAAGATTTTTTTCCTGAAAGTTTGGGCCAAAAACATGAGTTCACATTATACATGGGAGTGATTATACACAGCAACATACAGTACTTTCGCAGTACTCCTCAAAACAATCAAGATCATCAAAAGCAAGAAAAGTGAAAAGCTGTCACAACCCAGAGGAGCTTGAGAAGACATGACAACTAAGTGTAATGTGGTATCCTGGAAAAGAAAAAGGATATTGGGGTCCTGGCTGGGTAGCTCAGTTGGCTGGAGTGTCATCCTAATATACCAAGGTTGTGGGTTCAATCCCCAGTCAGGGCAATACAAAAATCAACCAATGAATGTGTAAATAAGTAGAACAACAAATCAATGTTTCTCTCTCTCTCCCTTCCTCTCTCTCTCAAATCAATTTTTAAAAATTTAAAAAAAGGATACTGGGGGAAAGCTAATCAAATCGGAATAAATTTTGGGGTTTACTTAATAATAATACATCCATATTAGTTGTGAGAAATAGGCCACCATAAGGTGAGATGTTAATAACAGGGGAAACTAAGTGAGGGGGAGAAGAGCCCCAGGATACTGAAGGTGCATTAGGCAGAGTCAATATTCATAAAAGTGAAAAACCCTCTCTACTAATGCCTCCACGTGTTCTGGTCCACGTGTTCTGGTCCATTGCTACAGTACCCATAGTCAGGCCTTCTACCATCCAGTGCCCCTGGACAACGAGGCCAGTCAGAGCCCAAAGGCATCACGTTATGGGGTCTTCCAGCTGGGGCAGCCCTGGCTCTCGCCCTGTATCACATCACATCTTTATGATACTCCCTTTCTTGGGCACCTGGTTCTCAGAAGCAGGAAGCATATAGCAAACGAATGCTCATCAACGACTTCTATCGCAATGGTCCTCATCTCTGAGCATCTCCTCTATGCCAGGACCTAAGGAGGACCTGACTCACACAAGAGTCCACCAACTCTCATGATGACCTGTAACAGCCTCAAGGCCCTCACGATCCAGAGACCCCCTTTATCTCTTTGACCCCTCTCCTTGCTTACACTGCTCTGGCCACTCTCACCATCTCAATGTTCTTCAAGTACTCCAGGTATGTACTCCAGGTATGTTCGATATATCACATGCATACAAACTCCCATCTCAGGCTCTGCTTTTCAGTGGCAGCTTTATGCAGACTGCACTGAGAGCCCCGGGACTAAGTAAACCAAGGCCTGCCTCTGCACCTGGTCTATGGCCCATCGTCCAGCTTGGAGGAGTTAGGGAGCTGCATGGGAAACAAGGCTGCCTGGTCAGGTGTCAGAAGTCAGGATCTGGGGTCGGTCTTACCTTCTGTTCCTCCTCCAGCCGAAGCCGCTCCTCCTCCTTCTTCCATTCTGCCTCACGCTGGGACTCAAGGCGTTTCCGCTCCTCACGCTCGGCCTCCTCTGCCTGGAGAGAGGCCTTCATAGAGGCACATCCCTACCCCACCTAGAGCTTGTTCACCTCCCAAACAGGCCAGGGCAGGCAATAGGCAATGCCTGGGCCAGGCTACAGACCAAGGCTGCAGGAGACAAAGCTAGGGAAGCAGCAAACACCAGCCCAGCATGCAAAGAGCCTCAAGGGGAGAGTCTGCTATATGGAACAGGGAAGGGAGGGTCCTTTCCCACTTCCCGGAGCTGCTCCCCACTCCTCCCTCTTGCCTCGCGCTGGGCTTTTCGTGCTTGTTTCTCCTCCAGTTTCCGTAGTTTCTTGGCTCCAATTTTCCCCGACGGGTGAGTTTCTGCTGGCTTCTCACTTTCTTCCTCATGGGCTGTGTGGGGGCAGAGAAGGACACTTCAGGTCTTGGCTAGAGAGGACCAATGATGGTGGATCCACCCCACCCCTTGTCCCTGTCCTTATGGATGGTTCCCCTTCCACCAGCCTGCAAATGTCATTAGCCCAGCTCTGCCCTCCAGAGGCATCAGCTACAAATGCAGAAATTCAAACCCAGGGTGTGTGTGTGTGTTAGAGGTGGTGGTAGGGTGAGGGATCCACAGGGCAAGGGGAGAGATGATAACTTTACACGTCGCATAGCCATAGAGGAACGCACCAGGTTCCAATATCCCAATGTCTGCAAATTACAGACAGGACTGTCTGGGCTTGCAGAGTTCTCTGCTTTCTGTCTCACAGCCAAAGCTCCAAGGAGGGATAGCCCCAGGGGAAATTTATCCCCACTCCATCCCCTCTAACCAGCCTCACCACCCACCTCAAATCTCAAATCATTCTCACTGCTGAGGGCTCTGGACTCAGTCCCTGGCCAGGGTTATCCCTTTTACCCAAGGCAAAAAGATAGCCCAAAACCCAGGATTACCCCAGGGCCAAAAACCCGCTGATTCCTAAGCAGCAAGGATATTAGACTGCAAGTCTGAGACAGGAGGGATGGTGCAACAGATGACTCTTTTTTTTTTAGCCAAAGGGGCTAATTTCCAAGAGTACAAAGGCAAAAGCCCCAAATGCCTCTTTCTCAGGCTCAAGACAGCTGTGGAGCACTGGTGGGGAGATGTTCTTTCCTATAATCCCAAGGGCCCTGTTGGTCTCCCAGTACCAGGGATACAGAGGTCTCCATCAGAAGAACATCTCTATCCTCAAACTCTTCTTGGGTTACGGCAACCCCAGTCCAGGGACTGCCGGAGCGCTCAGCCAGGAGCTCTGGCCCGGGGGTGAGGCCCTCAGCGAATGAGTGTGCCCACACCAGGAAGAGTGTTGGGATATAGAGGGAACTGAGGAACTCCCCTGGTCAATTTAAAGACCCCTGCCCTCCTGCTTGGACAGCGAGAACCCAGATGAAGGAAGGTATTGGCCCAATGGAATAGGGGTCAGAATCTAGAACTTCTGGTCCCTAGGACCAAAGGCCAGTTCTCAAGTCTGGCCACACTCCATCCTATGGCTCCCAGACATCCCTCCCACACTGTGGCTTCACACCCTACTCTTCGACCCAGCTTTTGGGGTCCTCTCACCCCCTAGGGCAGTTCTCTTCCCCTCCAGGATGTGGCCCCACTCACCTGGGATGACGGCTTCCTCCTCATTGTCATCCACCTCGGACCTGGCCAATCGCTGGGCTTGACGCTGGGCCTGCAGACGACTGCCCAGGTCCCTGCGGCGCCGGGGTCTACCCCCAGCCCTCTGCTCCTCGGGCTCCAGGGGCCGAGCCTGGGCCACTCGGCCTGCTGGCACTGGCTCTTCATGGTGCAGTGGCTCTCCGCTGGCTATAGGGAAGAGAGGAACCACAATGTTGTCCAGCAGCCCAATCCACCTGACGGCAGGGGAGCAACATCCTAAAGGTCTCATCCTCCTCTACTCAACTTCCTCCAGGCTCCTGATGGAAGCACAAATCCCAACTTCTGAGACCACTGAGGCCTTTATAACCCAGACCCTCACCTCAGTCCTAGGCAGCAAGATCACCCTTTCCCTCCAGCCTGTGTTGATACCTTTCCCTTCAAAGTCCCACCTTGCAGCTGGCCCGTCAGGAGATTCCCACCTTGATGGAGCAAGATGGAGCTGAAGCTCTACCTCCTCCAGGAAGCCCACTCTGAACTCTACAGACCTCACCTGAATGCCCACTGCAGGACTGCATTTATTTCTGGCCTAACACCACCGGCCAGTGGTTTTATCTGGCAGCACAACCAGAGAGCCCACCTGGGGGCTTTCTTCCCAGGAAATTTGCTGGCTATCTCCTTACCTCAGTTCCTTGCCCTACCCTCGGGGCCTGCAGGTGCTCTGAAGTAGCTTGTGGGCCCAGTGAGGGGGAGAGACATTAAACACAAAGCCATTTGGTGACAAGGGAAGGGGATGGAGTGGGGAATGCCGGGTGCGTCTGTCCTATGACATGGCCTTCTGATCAAGGTGCAGAACAGGGAGGAGAGTGCACGGGTGTCTCCTTGAGTGGCGAGAGCCTCAGGCAGTTCCCCAGGGCTGCCTCATGCTCTCTCCAGCTCGTGGGTAGGCAGAAAATATTCTAGTGTCCCCTTCTTGGCACAGGCTCTGGAGTCAGCCTGGGAGGGATGGAAACTCTTGTGATTTCTTCAACGGGCTCAGAGGGACATTGCCCCACTGAGAGATGGCAGCGTGTGTCCGCCTGGGCCTAGCCCCTCTGGGTGTGTAGGTCTGCAGTGCCAGGGGGCAAGGACAGGGATGGGGCGAGGATGTCTTTGGGGACCGGGAGGAAAGTGCAAGGACGCAGCCATCCCGTGTGCCGGTTCTGGCCTGGTCCCAGCCGGTCCCCCTTCGCGCGGGTACATGCAAGCCCTAGAGCTCGGCCAGGCGCCTAGATCCCCGTCAGCGCCGCCAGGCGGACGGGCGCATGCGCAGGAGCCTCAGCGCGACGGCCTACCACGGCTCAGGGAGTCGGAGAAGCGGCCCCACCGGCCCTAGCGCGGCGGCATCCCTTACCTGCTGCCGCTTGGCCCCGTCTGCGAGTCAGGAAGAGGATAAGGCCGATAAGCAGAGCTGCTGCCACCAAGTACACCACCGGGGCCACCATGGCGACAGCTTCCAGGTGGGACCTATGTGTCCACCCAGAGGCCCTGAACTTCCCAGTCCCCGCCCAACGCCCATATGACCCCTCCCATTTCCCCATTCAAGACCCCGCCCACCACTCTGGGCTCCGCCCAGGCCGTGTGTTTCACAGAGACCTTAGTTTTTTTTATTTTAGAATGAATTTGGGGGGCATTAAAAAAACACGTTAAGTGGAAATTATTCCAAACGGTTACATGCAGCGTGACAACCTTAATATATGTCTTTAAGGCACTAAACAATGCCATATAGTGTTTATGGAAACATATACACCATGTGTAAAAAGTACAAAAAGATACTTGGGAATAATACACACCAACTTCAGGATAACGATTACCTTTGGGGAGAGAAGAAGATGGATGAGGGTAAGGGCAGAGCTGTGTTTGTAGCTGTGACATTTTTGTTAAAAGAATGAGAGGGAGAGACCAAATCTTCCATTTAAATAGTGATATATTTTTGTACTCAGACCTGCCAATTTTATACGTATTTTAAAGTAAAATTAGCTTTCTTAGGTTGTACAAAAATTAGTGATCCAGTTTCCCATAGTGAGCTCTTGGAAATTACCCACAGGGAATTTAAAGTCCCCTTTAATTCTTAAGAATCTATAAAGAAAACTGGGGACAAGTTATACTTCAATGAAGTTGTTTTCAAAGAAACTGCAGATAGGCTCTTTCCAGTCAGTGCCAAACCATGTCAACTCAATGGCACAAGTGCCACAAGCCCATAGACAAGAGAAAGCCCAACCACAAGAAGCAAAAATATGCACTGGGGTGCCCTGCTGCCCACATTAAGATTGGCCTTCACTGCATACACATAGTCCATGCACGGGCAGGCAACAAGAAGTACTGAGCTTTGAGGCTGGATGTGGGCAACTTCTCCTGGGGCTTAGAGTGCTGTATGCACAAAACAAGGATTATTGATGCTGTCTACATGCATCTAACAACAAGCTGGCTGGTCCGCACCAAGAGCCTGGTAAAGAACTGCATGATGCTCATCGACAGCACACCATACCAATAGTGGTATGAGTCCCACTAGGCACTGTCCCTGGACCTCAAGGAGGGGGCCAAGCTGACTCCAGAGGAGAAAGAGATTGTCAACAACAAAAAAAAGATAAAAGAAAACTCAGAAGAAATATGAAAAAGAATGCCAAAATCAGCAGTCTTCTAGATGAGCAGTCCCAGCAGGACAAACTTCTTGCATGCATCGCTTCAAGACCAGGCCAGTGTGGCCAAGCAGATGGTTATGTGCAATAAGGCAAGAAACTGGAGTTCTAGCTGAGGAAAATCAAGACCCAAAAAGCAAATAAACCTTCATTCCTCTTGTCTTAGTGCATGTAACATAGGTGTTTATTGTAAAACAAACAAACAAAAGAACTGGGACAGAATGTAAACTTGAGATTTTTTTAAAGAAGCAAATAACTACTGGGAATTTGCTATTAGAGTAGTATGAAACCTCTTCTGTGTGTGTGACAACATAAAGATTCCAGGACCAATGGTGTGAATGGTGGAGGCAGGGGGAGATTTGAAAAAATATGACATGTTAATATCTGTTAAGTGGAAATTATTGCAAATGGCTATGTGCAGTGTGACAACATATATATAAGTTTTAAAACCACTAAACAGCTCTGGCTGGTGTGGCTTAGTGGATTGAGTGCTGGCCTGTGAACCAAAGGGTCACTGGTTTGATTCCCAGTCAGGGCGCATGCCTGACTTGCAGGCCAGGTCCCCAGTGAGGGGTGCGTGAGAAGCAACCACACATTGATATTTCTCTCCCTCTCTTCCTCCCTTCCCCTCTCTAAAAAGTAAATAAATAAAATCTAAAAAAATAAAATAAAACCACTAAACAATACCACGTTATTAAATTGAAGTGGTGACAATTTGAGCATCTGTCTCTTTTCTGTAAGTTTGGAGTATTTCATAATTTACATTTTAAATTAAATTTTAAACAAGTAAACTGGGCAGGATAGATTTAATAAAAATAGCTAATGTTGATAATTGTTAAAGTTGTGTGATGGTTATATAGGGGCTCATTATACTACCCTTTTTGACATCTTTGTATGACTATGAAATTTTCCATAATAAAAAGTTTTATTAAAACGTACAAGTTAGCTCTGGCCCAGTGGCTCAGTTGGTGGGAACATCATCCTGTACACCAAAAGGTTGTGGGTTCGATTCCCAGTTGGGGCATCGGCCCAGGTTGTGGGCTCAATCAACTAGGGACCTGCCCTGGTCAGGGAGTGTGCAGGAGATGACTGATCAAAGTCTCTCCTCCCACCCCCCTTTCTCTGTCTCTAAAATCAACAAAAAAAAGAAAAAAGGTGAAAGCCCTAGCCGAGTATCTCAGTTGGTTGGACAGTCATCCCAATAAGCCAAGGTTGTAGGTTCGATCCTCAGTTAGGGCACATACAAGAATCAACCAATGAAAACATAAATAGGTAGAACAAAAAAGTCAATGTGTCTCTCCCCCTCACCATTCCTTTCTCTCTGAAATCAATAAATTTTAAAAAATTAAAGACTTTATACATTTTCATAATTTGCATGAGCTCAGAAAGTTGCCTGGATGGGCAAAACAAACTGTCAATAGAGATAATTCTTCCTGTTGCCTCAGATATCATTTTTATAGCTTTCACATGTAGTTCTCAGGTTCTCGGCGTCCTGGCCCCCAAACATGTCGCTTAAGGGTTGTGGGCAGACAGGAGGGTGGAAAACAGCAGGAAGAGCCATCTTCCTGGTGTAGGTAAGAACAAAACAGCGTTGGACTTATAAGAGCAGTAGTGGGGGGCGAAAAGGAGGGGACTGATTCAAGAGCTATTCCAGAGGTAGAACCAACAGGACTTGACAAGTTCCTTTGAGGACAAGAATCATCCTTCTTTGCTTAGCTGGGTTTTTCCAATTGAGGGGAGTGCAGTTCTAATGAGATTTCCAGTCATATTCTTTACTAAAGGGGGTAAATATTTGTACATTTTAATTCTAGCACAGTTTATTTAATGAATTAACAAATGATGCAATCTCCTTCCTTTCTGTTTAGAGCAACTAAGAACTTCACTATCTTTTAAAAAAATTTTTTAAATTTATTTTTAGAGGGGAAGGGAGGGAGAGAGGGAGATAAGCATCAGTGTGTGGTCGCCTCTTGCACACCCTCAACTGGGGACCTGGCCCACAACCCAGGCATGTGCCCTGATCAGGAATCAAACCAGTGACCCTTTGATTCTCAGGCCAGCGCTCAATCCACTGAGCCACACAAACCAGGGTAAACTTCAGTATCTCTTTATAGACTGATCAGTTAAGTGAACAAATCAGTACATTTCTTTTTTAGTTTTATTGCCTAAGAGGATTTTCTGACACTTGCAACCAAGAGTGCTGATTAAAGATCACACATACACAAATCTTTGTATACAATTGTGTGTATTCACATACCTTTTCCCTCCCCTCAAGCTCTTGGGCTCCATGGCCTTCAGATTTAGAGTGAGGTCTATCTAGTGAAAGTGAATACCCATTCACAAGACTCCCCGCTTATTAACCTTTTGTAAGCTCCCACAGCTAGCTGTGACTGATCAGCTGCCCTAACCTAGGTGGTTCTCAGCACCCAGCATTTCCCCAGTCACTGCAGTGACCGTAGCACATGGTACCTGTCTATGGTACACCAGATGCCTAGACCCAGTCCCTGGGAAGCTCTTCCTGGCATAATGGTGTAGCTGAAGTTTTAAAGGCCAGGAGGTCAGCTTTGATCAGGGAAATCTCTGCCCCTCCACCTCCCTGAGGATTCTCTATGATTTCATGAGGAAAGAAAATAGATGACAGAGAGGTAGTTGCTACGCACTCCCCGATTCGAACCCAGTACTTCCGAAATCAACTCCAAGGAGCTTCACAAATCACACTGTGGAAAGGGTACTGACCCAGAAACTTTAGGACCTGCCCCAGAACACAGTAATGCCTTTTAGCCCATGCAATACTAACACTATGATCATTGAGCAAAGTTTTTAGAGAGCATGGAATTTTAAATACCCTCTAAAGACAAATTCTGGGGTCTAAAAAAAAAAAAAAAAAAGTTTATCAGAGGTCATTAACAGTAGGCAAAATAATTCTTCCAGGGACTGACAGACCTCCAGAGTACTGATACTCCTCTGACAGAAGTTGCCTCACCAGGAGTAGAGCTGGCCCTGAATCTGTCCTTATTATTGAGTCCCTGAAGGAGGGAGACAAGTGACTTGCCCAATGGGGGAGTTAGCAGTGGTTCAAGGCCTGTCACCCTCGAGGGTCTGCTGGGGCACATTCTGTTCTTTGCTGTATTCAGGATGCAAAGATCTGGCTGAGACATGGGTATGGAGAAGGGATGATGAATTTGGGAGGCTGGAGGGACGAAGGAATCAAAATACTCAAGTCCCAAGTCTGGGAGATGGGTGAAAAGACCAGGCTTACTTTAGACCAGGGTTGTCCAACTTGCAGACCCTGGGAGACCACGTGCAGCCAAAGATGGCTGTGAATGTGGCCTAACACAACATCGTAAATTTACTTAAAACATGAGATTTGTTGTGTGTGATTACATCTCGCAATGTATTTACCATGTGGCCCAGAGACACCAAAAGGTTGGACACCCCTGCTAGACTATGTCAAGTTTAAGTACACATCAAGTAGTTCAGAGCTGGCGGGGGAAGGAGGAGCTAAAAGACCGGGACTGAAGGTGAGGTCAGGCTAAAGGCCCGCGCTTGGCTGTCCTGGCCCAGAAAGAGCCCATTCTCAGAGACAGCCTTGCAGGCGCCGTTCATCAACGGTCTCGGGGTAGGGACGAGGGTTTTTCTTGCTTCCCTCGGTACCCAAGTACCAGAGACGGGAGAAAGCGTTGGTGGGACGGGTGGCTGGAATGGTCTCTTCTGGTCCGTGAAAACAGCGTCCCTTGGTGGGAGAGACTGGTCTCGGAGCACTCAACCTCCACTCAGGAAGCCTGTTGCATTCGGGCGCAGGGGAGCCGCGCCACTTTCTTCTACTCTAGCGCCCGGCGCCCCAGGCTGGTCATCCGGAAAAACGGCACTCTACTCGCCAGCGGTCTGAGCAAGGGTTCCGGGCGCCCAGCGCGGCCTTACCCCGCTAAGGCGGTTAGGCTGTCGTCGCCGCCGCCAAATGCGCGTAACGCGATGCCAAGACTGTCTCCCCCTGGACCGCTGGCTGGACGCCTAAACACCCCCTTCCGCCGCCAGCCGGAAGTGACGGCAACCTGAGGTAAAGGGGCTTCCGGTGGGGCTGAGAAGTAACCGAGGTTCACCATGGCGGCCTCATTGGCCGGGAAGAAGATCGTGTTTGTCACGGGAAACGCCAAGAAGCTGGAGGAGGTGCTGGGAGGGTGTGGGAGGCCGGGCAGGAGGCGGCTGGGGTGGGTAGAGTGTGGTCAGGTCGGCTGGGAATAGGGCGGAGAAGGAGCAACCAGGCGGAGGAAGCACGCAGGCGGAGTCGCGGAAGGGGAATAGAGAGTCAGACCCACAGGGATAGGTCTGACCCAGGTGTGGAAGGGGTTGGACCGCGCGGAGTGGGGCGGTGCGGAACACAGGGCTTGTGAGCTCAGAGGTTGCGGGAGCTGAGGGAGTGACGGGGTCCTTAGCACTTGTACCAAAGGTCACTTACTGAGCTAGACCTTAAACAGGGATCTCAACAGCCATTTGAAGCTGATGCAGATCTAGCTGCTGGCTTGGGGGTGGGTGGCAGGGACTGGACAGAGCCTAGAACAGACATCCAAACTGAGCCGTCCACATCCTACCATGGTTCAGAAACGTGGTCCTCAGCCTCTCCCAGCCTCTTTCAGCATCTGTGAAATGGGGATGACGAGAGGAATGAGGGAAGCAGTGGATCCAAAGCTCCTGGCTACTTTGTGGCTGGCTCTGCAGATCTAGGGTTTGATGAAACGTCTTTGGCTGCAAATAATAGAGACACCAGGGAGCTCATATAAACCACCTGACTCTTGTGGAAGTACAAAGTGATGGTGTTAAGGCGTCTCTTGAGGGGCTGTCCTGTCCTTGTAGTTCTTGCTGAATGACCATCCTTTTTGCTAGTGGGGTTTTTCTCCTTTCTTTTGTTGTAATGGAGGCGCATTGAGGCTTCTGCCATACACTAGCTCTGATTGGTTTGCTTGGGTCAAGGGTTTGCCCTTGCTCAGTCAGCTGTGGCCAAAGCAGCGGTGGGGTCCTGTGTGGGAAATCAGGATGACACCCATTAGATACGTTTGAAGCAGACCAGTGGGGTGCAGTCATTAGGGGACCCTTCATTTGTCCACAGCATAGGGACTGATGACAGTTTTGTGCCAGGACAGGGTCACCTTCTCAGTAACCAGAGCCCTATGCTGATAAAATATTTGGGATCCTGAGGCCAGACCAATCGAAGAGACAGGCAGTACCACCCTGAACAGACAGCCCCATGCAAGATGGTGGGTGTCAGTCCCCAAGCCTGGCGCAGCTGCTAGTTGAGAACATGGCCCTCCCACACTTAGAAGAAGGTGCTTGAGTGGCCAGAGGAAGCTCACTGGAGAAGATGGAGTTGAAGCTGGTCTAAAACAGGGAGTCTTTTTTTTTTTTTTAATACTTAAATCAAGGTGCTCCTTTTTTACTTTATTTTTAAATTTTTTAGTGATTTCGGAGAGAGAGGGGAAGAGAGAGAGAAACATCGATTTGTTGGTCCACTTATTTATGCATTCATTGGTTGCTTCTTCTATGTGCCCTGACCAGAGATCGAATCCACAATCTTGGCTTATTGGGACGATGCTCTAACCAACTGAGCTGCCTGGCCAGGGCTAGTAAAACAGGGAGTATTAACTCCTCATTATGCCATGGTACCCCATTGGCAGACTGATGAAGCTTCTGGACCCTTTCTCGGGAAAATATTTTTAAATATGCAAAGTAAAGTACGTAGAATTACAAAGGAAATCTATTGAAGTACAGTTCTCAAAATATTACAAATATTACTTTATTGACGTATTAAAGGATTCAATCTAACAGTGTGTAATTACCATAATTTTATAATAATGAGAATTGTAGATGATATTTTGAGATATCTGCTATCACTGTAAGGGGGCATGGGGACAGCTGTGATTTTAATAGGTTTAAAGGCCACTGGAACTGCTAATGCTACTTTGGTTTTCTATATTCACAATTGAAAAAAGGTACTGAATTTCAGCTAGGGATTACTGAAAATAGAGAGGTATTTTTAAACCAGTGTCACCCCAATAAATAAATAAATTTTAAAAAACAGGTCTTTTTTTCCCCATCCAAGTTCACAGGCCTCCTCGATTCTGGGTAATGCCTGATAGAGAATTCCTGGCCTAGGAATATAGAGTTTCTGGGAGCATAGAAAAGGAAAGAGGGTGTTCTGGGTGGGCAGATAGCATGAACAGAGACCTGAAGCAGGAGGCTGAGATGAGGGAGATGATCTGCTGGGGTGGACCCTGAGGGCTGCTGGGAGGCTCATGGGCCTGACTTGATAAGCTGTAGGGGACTGGCAGGAGAATTCCCTTATGAGAAGGGTGGATGGCAGCTTGTGTAATAACGGGGAATTGTTAACAAATGGTGTTAAATGTTCTTTCATTTTGGAACAGGTCATCCAGATTCTAGGAGACAAGTTTCCATGTACTTTGGTGGCACAGAAAATTGACCGTATGTCTCTGTTTTGTTTAATTTCTAAAAGACAGTTTGAGTTCTCTGTCTGCTGGTGACCTGACTCTCTGTGTGTCTTTTCCCCATAAGTGCCGGAGTACCAGGGGGAGCCTGATGAGATTTCTATACAGAAGTGTCAGGAGGCAGCTCGCCAGGTGCTTGCTCCACTTGTGTTTTCTACTCGCTTCTCTTGTCGTGGTCGCTTCTGGGACCTGTGCCTTCTGGGATGAGTGGAGAACAATAGGGTGGGCACAATCTGTTATGACTTTAAGGACCTGCCCAGACCTAGCTGTTCTGGGTCAGTTCATGTTGGCCCTGGAATACTGTCCTTTCTCAAGCTTGGCTGCATAGTATCTCCCCAGACCACCACATACATGATTCTCTCTCCCTAATTCTCAGATACATACATTCCAATCCCTACATTCTCCCCTGCACACATCCACCCTGCACTGGAACTGGCAAAGAGCACTTTGTGAAGGGTCAGGCTGCCTAAGGATGAATCCCATCTTTCCTGTTTCTGTGCCTGGAGCAGTCTTTACAACCTGCCAAGGCTTTGGTGTTCTTAACTCTAAAAGGAATATAAGAGATAAGCCAAGGGCTAATCCCAGTAGTAGATGGACCTCTATCTTCTGCTGCTGCTGCTGCTGCTGCTGCTGCTATTCCTGCAGCAGTAGCAGGTCCCAACTAGATGTGGGCTTGGCCCCAGCTTGGATGGCTTGGGAATTATTCAGGGCTGCGGCAGGGCCTGCTGCTGGTGGTAGGTCTCAGGGTTGCATTTCCTTGTGCTGCAGGTACAGGGGCCTGTACTGGTAGAAGACACCTGTCTGTGTTTCAATGCTCTTGGGGGCCTCCCTGGCCCCTACATGTGAGTGCTCCCCCACCCCCTTGCAGAGTCCTGCCCACAAAACCCCCTCAACTTAGAAATGTTTGGTTACCTGATACTGCAGTTCATTCACTGTCTTGGCATCAACACGAATATTTCAGATTGTCCTGAGGAAGGATTAGGAATGGAGGAAAGGCATGCATGTCTTTTGTAAAGTGTGAGAATGTTATTGTGTAAGTGGAGATGTGCAAGGGGAACCCACCTGTTGAAAAGGGACATTCATGGGCAGATCGATTTCAGGAAAGAGAAAATAAGGAAGTCAAGATCTGAAAATGGATTTTCTTAAAATATTTAGTGTTCTGAACCCCCTTAGAAGGTCTTTGTGTAACTCTATGATACAAATAACCCAACTTGAATACCTATTTCTGTGGTTGGAGAGCAAATGCTTAGCAGTACTGTTGCTAGGTCTTGAACATGTGTATCTTTAACATTTGGGTTGCCAATATTTTTGCCAAAGCAGCAGCACCCATATACACTTACAGTATGCATTGCTCTATATTTGCAATGTGGGGAGTGTGAAATGCTATCACACACAGTTTTAATTTACATTTCCCTAATTACCAGTCAGCTTGAGGCCTTCACTGAATTATTGATTCTTTTATGCATTGCCTATTTGCCTCCATTTCCTTTTTCCTTTTGGATGATTTGTCCTCATTTTGAGGCAAGACATTCTTTATCATGTGAGCCCCTTGGCTGTCCTGGGGTGGGGTGCACCCCAGAGAAGAAGGTCCTCAGAAGATCCAGCTCCTGATGTCTGACTCGACTTTATTTGTCTTGCAGAAAGTGGTTTCTGGAGAAGTTAAAGCCTGAAGGTATTAACCCTTTCATTTCTTCCTTTAGATCCTTTGGGAACGGAGAATCTGGTGGTGGTCTAGGGGAGGGCCCCAAATAGTAATTAGGAACCTGAGGTTCCAGCCCCCCCACGGAGCCTCTGTTCACCTAGTTTCCCCTTCTGTAACCTGAAGCTCACACTTTCCGTGCACACCTAGCTGCAGGGAGCACTGAGATGTGGGACGAGTGGATGGGCAAGGGGTGGTGGGAGCTGTGAATGTGGGGAACAAACGGACTACAGTTGATTTTGGCTGAGAGGACTGGCTCTACTGACTGCTTGCCTGTCCTTGCCTCAGCCAGGGCCTGGCTTAGGGGTTAGGGTCCTCACCTCTTGAGCCCCAGCAGGGCATACCTTGTCACCTACAGTTGCCGGCCAAAATGTCCCCTTTTTAGGTGCTTCTGAAAACACCTTATATTAATGAGCTCTTAAACATGTACAATAGTAGAATAGAATAATGAACCCCATGTCCTCATGACCCAACTTCCAGCTTTATCATCACAAAGCCTGTCTGGTAACATGTATAAGCGCCCCCTCCCACCCCAGCTTGGCACATGCCCTCCAATCCAGGGCCTTGGGGTGGGGACTGGTCGTCGCAGACTGCACTGAGTCTTCACTGCACTTGCCCGCAGGTCTCCACCAGCTCCTGGCAGGGTTCGAGGACAAGTCGGCCTATGCGCTCTGCACATTCGCTTACAGCTCTGGGGATGCAAGTGAACCCGTGCGGCTATTCAGGGGCCGGACCTCGGTGCGTACTCATGCTGATCCTCCGCTTGCCACTAGAGGGCGCCGCGACTCCAGCCGGCCGCCCACGGTCTTCTGCAGGAATGTGGAGGGGGTGGTGTCCAGGCCTGAGTTAGTTTTCAGGACTTTGCCCAGATCTGCCCCTGGGCACAAGTAGAAATGCTGTCAGTCCCGAAACCTGTGTGATCCCTGAGGGTGCTGTTTGAGGGAAACGCACGCGGCTCCCTGCTGTTAAGGTCCCATGCACCCAGAGCTCTGCTCTGCGTGCCCTGCTGGGAAGCAGATGGGGAAACTGAAGAGGACAACTCCCAGAGCTGCACCTACAGCCTAGACTCCTGCCACTTGCACTCCCCTCATCCAGCTACTAAGGCTACAGCTTCACATGAACATTTCACAGCCTTTCCATCTTTTCATGTTTATATAGAGTCTTCTTCCCCAACTCATTTTTTTCCCCAGCTGCCCTTTAACGCCTCATGCTTCCCTGCGAGGTCCCCTTACTTCTCACAGGGTCCACACCACTCGGAGCTGTCCCCTGGGCCCCCGCCCCAGCCCATGTATTCCGTCCTTGTGTCAGGATGACAGGAGTGCGTCTTCTGGCATTTCACTCCCACGTGTCCCTTCTGCTCAGGATAGAATCCAGAGTCCCCCTGTATCCCACAAAGCCCTGTTCCAGAGCCTTCACCAGGAATTGGCTACAGAGATGTCCTGTTTGCCCTACCTGGTTAGCTCTGTCTGTGTTAAAAACATGTAAAGTTATCTTAGCCATTTTTAAGTGTACAGTAATGTTAACTATATGCACACTATTGTACAACAGATCTCTAGAACTTTTTAAAAATTGATTTTAAAGAGGGAGGGAGAGGTAGAAAGAGAGACAGCGATTTTGTTGTTCCATGTATGTATGCATTCATTAGTTGAGTCTTGTATGTGCCCTGACTAGAGATCAAACCCACAACCTTGCTGTATTGGGACAACATTCTAACCAACTGAGCTCCCTGGCCAGGGCGTAGAGCTTTTTCATCTTACAAAATGGGAACTGTATCCATAGAACAACTCTCCTTTCCCCCCCTCCTCCTAGCTCCCACCATTCTATTTTCTGTTCCTAAGACTTTGACAACTTCAGGCACTTTATAGAATCCTGTAGTGTTTGTCTTTTTGTTACTAGCTTACTAGCTTCATTTACTAAAATGACCTAAAGAGCATCCATGTTTTAGCATAGAATTTTGTAATTTTTTTTTATCCTCACTAGACATATCCATTGATCCTAGAGAGAGGAAGTGAGAGAGAAAAATTCTGATGTGAGAAAAACACCAGTTGGTTGCCTCCCGTATGCGCCCCGAACAGGGATCAAACCAGCAACCTTTGGGTGCACGGGACAATGCTCCAACCAACGGAGCTGCCCGGCCAGGGTTTCATTTGTTTTTTAGGCTCAACAGTATTCCATTTTATGTATGTGCCACATTTTCTTCATCCGTTATCAGTCGATGGACATTTATTGCTTCCACAGTTTGGCTGCTGTGAATAATGCTATGAATACAGGAACGTTCTCTCAAAAATCACAAGTTTGAACAACCATAAGCCTTGCTGATAGGGCGCAGTCACTGTAGTCCCCACCATTCCCTATTGCCTCCCCAGCTTTGGCTGCTTCATGTACTTTGTTGCTTCCCAGCCCCCACTTTACCCAAGGTGGCCATGTTTCTTCATGTTCTGTTCTCACCTGAACCCCCTGAACCCAAATACATTGTCTTTTGAGCAGCACGTATGCCAAGCCTTCCCCCATTTCAGCGCCTTGGCATGAGCTGTATCTTCCACTTGGAATGTTCGTGCTCCAGCCCTGAGGACTTCCCAGATTCCATCCTGTTCTTGAGTTCAGTTCTCTGTTTGTTCCCTGTGAGGTGCTTCATTTTGCATTTGGTAATTTGTTTACTGGTGTGATGGCTGTTTTGCCTAAAGTCATTTTGCAAGGGCAAGGCAGGGCCTGCTGTAACGCTGATGCTGACAAAACTACCTGCCTCGCTGCAGGTGTTCAGAAAAGACGTGTTGCTTGGGTATGGTTCAGAGTCGTTCAGTGACTGGTCTCAGGCACACAGCTCCCTGCTAGCAGAAGCAGAATTTGCCTTTGTCTGAATGACTTGACATTTATGTGGCTAATCCCCTTTCCCTACTACCTCTCTTACATGTTTTTAATTAATTTTGTCTTTTATTGCTTTCATGGCAACATGACATTCCATGACAGTGGACCATAATTGGTTCTCTTTGTAACATTTTTCTGTTGGAATTTGCCTATTACAGCCAGTGTTTATTGAACTTATTTATATGTCGAACATTGTGCTAAGTAATTTCTATTACATTTTCACTTAATTGTTAGAGCCTCCCTAGCATTTTAAGAAATGCAGTAAGAGTAGCAGGCATGGGGCTTGTCTGCAAAGTTCAGGGCCCTTAACTTCATATGTAGGAGAAAATGTTTTCTGTTAGTTTTTCACAATCGACTCCCTTCTTTAATATGTCACAGTTTGTCAAAGCTGTGGAGAGGGAGGGCTCCAGGGACATCAAGGACTTGGCTCCCCCCTGTCCCTCTGTGCATTTTATTTATGTGTTTAGCAAACATTTGCAGATACTATGGATCCCTTGAAAACACATAGTTTTAGTAAACAGAATTTAACCAAATCTATAACCTAAACTCAGACTGGCTACTCTCTTCCTCCTAGTGCATCTCCTTCATGCGCAGTGACATATCTGTCTCCCTTTCCTCTGGCAGGGCCAGATTGTGCTACCCCGAGGCTGCCGGGACTTTGGCTGGGACCCCTGCTTTCAGCCCGATGGATACGAGCAAACGTAAGGAGCCCAGTTTCCTCCTGGCGTCAGGCCAGCCATGATCTCCATTGGGTCAGCGCCCCGCCCAAGTGTGCAGGCACGCGGATATGGCTGGAGCAGGCTCTGAGGGTGCTGTTCCAGCTGAAGGCATCTCTGCTGGGGTGGACGCAAGGAATCTGGGTGGCCCAGTCCAAGGTGGGGAAGGCAGCCAGGCGGAGCTGGGAGAGACCTGGACTCAGGCTCCAGCTTACAGCTGAGCAGCTGTGTGACTTCAGTGGCTTCCTCTCTCTGACCTTGGCTTGTTGTGTATATATCTGATAGTTGTGTGGGATGATCTTCTGACCCCCTCATTTAATTTGGAAAAACTCTAACACTTTTGCAGCCTTGGTGGGCATCACATCAAACCCCCACGGCGCTGAGTGATCTCAGTATTTCATATTAATTTCCCCTCTTATTTACGTGGGACATTTTGGCCGCTGTTGGAGCCAGATTTTCCAGGCTGGAGGGAGCATGGCCTGAGACCTCACAAAAGCCGGACAGGGCTGAGGACAACATGTAAGAGCACTGTCCGAGAATGCTCTTCAGTGGCAGAAATGTTCTACATCTTGCTGTCCAGTCCAGTAGCAGTTGGCTACAAGTGGCTGTTTAGCATTTAAAATGTGATTAGAAAAAAAAAATTAAAAAATAAAATATAATGTGATTGGGGTGGCCCTGGCTGGGTAGCTCACTTGGTTAGAGCATCGTCCGATGCCAAGGTTGTGGGTTTGATCCCCAGTTGGGGCACAGACAAGAATCAACTAGTGAATGCATAAATAAGTGGAACAAGAATTCATTGTTTCTCGCTCTCTGTCTTAAAAAAAAAAAAGAGCTTATAAAACAATATAAAATAAAATGTGGTCAGGGTGACCGAGGAACTGAAATTCTTTTTATTCAGTTGTAATTGGTTTAAATTTAAAGGACCACATGTGACTAGTGGCCACAAACTGGACAGCACAGACCTGAAGCCCACCAGTGGGGTGTGGGATTCTCACCTCGCCAGAGCCCTGGCGTGGGGGACAGGCCGCTGGCCGGCTGTCCCACGCCGCCCCCGCCCCCGCAGTGCACTCGAGGAGACTGCTGTGTTTGTTCTGTCAGGCCCCATTGCTTCCTGTCAACAGATGACAAAGCTGATCAAACATGCAGCTCATCCCCCCTGTCCCCAGCTTCCCTTAATGACTTCTGGACACGCTGGAGCAAGTTTAATGTCCTTCCTCATTCATTAATATGGGTTTGGACCTATAGGGGAATTTAAAACTTTCTGAGTTTTGAGAACGTAACTATCTGCCAGGAGCTGGTGGCCCCGCTGCCCTTCCCTGGGGACGCCTTGAGCTCTGGGCTCTGGAATGGGGTGGGGGGTGCACGCCGTCCCGGACATGGCCTCCCCATGCTGAGCCGCTGCTGTTGCCTCTTAGGTACGCAGAGATGCCCAAAGCCGAGAAGAACGCCATCTCCCATCGCTTCCGGGCCCTGCGCGAGCTGCAGGAGTACTTCGGCGGCCTGACTTCTCTTGGGGCCAGTGACTTCTCTTGGGGCCAGTGACGAGCACGCCTGCCGGGGATCTGGGGAGGGCTAGCCTGAACCCTCCGCCATCAGGCAGGCGCCCCCGCCCAGTGTGTCCTCCAGGGTCACTTTCTGGGGATGCTGAGACTTGACAGCCGCACCAGCCCAGCCTCACCGGACGAAGGAGCGGGTGGCTCTGCTTGGAGAAACTTCGGGCAAGGGACACCGCTCTCGCCCTTGGGAATTCAGCGGTCTCTCCAAAGCCGCCAGGCCTTGGGTCGGGTGTCAGAGACTGGCCCTGACAGGATTGAAGGCTGCGGGAAAACCCACACAAATAGTCTTAGTGTTTTTAAAATGTGGCAAATAAAAATTCTGAAAGGCACTCCAGAATAAACTGGATGTACCTGCTTTGGAACCTGCCCTGGGCAGATGTGTCTCCCAAGTCCCCTTTAGTAGGAACAGGAAACTTCTCAGGTAGGCGGGGGGTGTTGGTGGGACAAGGACAGCACTGTGCCCATGCCCTTAACCGCGTGTCCTTAGGGATGTCCGCACGCCCTTGCTAGCTGGAGTGTCACAGCTTTCCTTTCGTGGAGTCTCAGGGTGAGGCCTGACCTTTTCCGTGCCAGGCCCGTGCTGCCCGACCACCCGCTGCGTGGTGCCGTCGCCCAGCTGGTCGGCACGGTGTGTGCCGGGCTGGAGGTGGGCCGTGTGGGATGTCTGGTGATGTTTCGCGGGGTTACAGACACTGGAGCAGCTCAGGTGTTGGCTTATGATTATAATGCCGAGTTCATTTTTATGGCAGTGACAGGGACGAGTCCTTGACGCCAGCTGGGCCGGCATTCCGTATTCGCCTGCGGCCCTCAGGCCCCTCAGAAGGCCCGGGCCGGCTGCCCCAGAACCTCACTGTGCCCTGGTGAAGCCGTCCCCTGGGAGGGACTCCCGGGGCTTGGGATGGTTCCCCTGACTTCCTGGCAGGAGTTTGGTGAGGAGCAGGCGCCCCGCCCTGAGGATGTTCAGAAAAGCCCGTTCTGTGCAGCAGGCCAGGGAGAGGGCGTGACACTGTCCTCCGTGCTGGTCCGTTGCCCCCACGCTTGCCTCTGCTCACAAGCAGCTCTGGAGAGGTGCCCCTCCAGGCCCTTTGGCCCTGGCAGCGTGGCCTGGCGAGCGGGTGTAACCCTTGCTTCTCCTCGCCTTGTCCCCTCCCCCCCGCCCCCGTGCCTGCAGTTAAGGCCCAAACGTCATTCTTTTGCCCCCACTCTTGCCCGTAAGGCCCAGCTGGGTCGTTTCCCCAGGATGTGCCAGTGGCTGAGCCTCTGGAGTTGTCTCCTTGGTGGCAGGTGGTCTGGCTGGGCTGATACGGGGTGCTGGGGGGGCCTGCCTAGTGATTCGGGACATGACCCCACCCTCAGGGGTACCCAGGCTACTGGAGAGGGGGCCCCAAAGGCTCATATGCCTCACAAGGTGGGCAGGCGCATGCAGCTTGGGGCAAGACGTCCCCGTTTGTTAACTCAGCTTCCTCCCCGGCGTTCTGTCCTGGCACCCAGTACGTACACTTTCTGTCCCCCCCTTTTTAGTTCTCCATCCTCACAAACAACATTGCTTCATTAGAGGGTGAGGTGTCTTGATTGTGCCTTAGTTTCCACTCTTCCCATCAGTGCGCGAGGGCCCACCATTTCCTGCTTGATGATCCAGCCTGATACTTGCCAACCTACCAAGCGGAAGGTGCCGCCTTGCTGCTGGGTTGCATTTCTTAACGTTTCCGAGGTGTCTGGGCATCTCCCGCCATCCCTATTACCATTTCGGGCCTCCCTTCCCCAACTCACAGCCTTGCTTCTTTCCTATCAGAGTCACTGTCTTTGTGTTGGTTTATCAGAGTTGTCTATCTAGATCTTAGTCCTTTGGCCGTTTTAGATGTAGCAGCTGTCTTCTCATCTGCTGCCTTGGTCTGTGGTGTAAATAGTTCTCAAGCCCAAATTCTCAAAGATGATGCGATGGGGTGTCTGCGAGGCGAGTGCTCTGCCTGTCGCCGCTGCTGCTCCCAGGTGCACACGGCGTGGGGTGCTCCCCTGAGCCTCAGTTGTGTAGTCCCCGCTGTGCAGCCACTGTCAGGGACCCTGGCCAACCACCAAAGGACCACGCCAGAAATATGGCATCTTCTCCCCTCTGTCAAACCAACCCCCACCGTCTGGTTTCTTCCACTTCGCTCTGTCCCCACCAGCACTGCCCTGGTGCAGCACGCGGCTCCTGCGCCATCCCACACCCGCTACCTATAAACTCTAGAATCTAGCCAACAGACCAGATAGTTCAAAACTGCCAGGCTGACCTGCACACACCTGTTTTCAGCCTCAGGTCAGGCTGCTCTGCAGCTGCCTCTGCGAATCGGGGCCCTTTGCAGTCGGCCCTGCTGATTTCTCCACACCAGCCACGCTCTTCCCTGGCCCCAAGCCCTCTCCTCAGGGTCCTCATATATGTGCTGTTCCTAGATGCTTCCATAGATTCCTGGCGGCACAAAGGCCTCCTGCATTTTCCATATCCCCCTGTTGGGCCAACGTCCACTGTGCTGAGTTGCAGGCGACAGCACACAGATGGCACTCAGCACACATGAATCGCTTTCATTCCTCCCCAAGGCCCTCAGGCAGCCTTCAGAGGCTGGGGCAGGGCTACAGGGATGGAGACAGTGCATAGAAGCATAGAAACAGGAGCTTTATTCTCTAATGTGCGTACAGCGAATTCCTTACACAATCAAGGAAATGGTTTCTCTTTCAGGCATCTGACTCTTTTATCAAAAGAAAATCTGTCCTGCTTAGTGCCACCCTGGGCAGAGGCTGCCCCGAGCAGTGTTTTCACCCCAAGCAGAAGGCAGTGGGGAGTGCAGGCACACACCACGGAACCCCCGCGACGCACACGTGCCCTCGCCTGTTGGGACAGCTGTGAGGAGGCGCAGCATAGGGCAGCACTCCGAGACACCCACCCCTCCCCACACAAAGTCCCAGCCAGGCTAGGGAGACCCGGAGGGACAGATGAACGGGGTGTGCCAGGGCCTGCCAGTCGGGCTCAGTGCTCAGCATCCATGGCGTCCAGGTATTTGGCTTCAATGATTTGGGGCAGCAGCTTGTAGCTTAGGGGAGGGGAGTAGAGAACAGGCAGGAAGATGAACACTGAGTCAGGGAGAAGGCAGAGGGCACCCGCCCCAACCCTCCTCCCACCCTTCCACCCAGCTGGTCCCGCCTGCCCTCTGCGCACCCTCCCATACCGGATGGGGATCATGGCAATCATGATGAGGGGGAAGATCATCTTCATGTAGGGCAGGGGGCTCATGCCAAAGGCACAGAGCAGCAGCAGCTGCAGGACCTGCAGGCCTGTGAAGTAGTGTATCTTCCTCTGGGGCACCCTCCGGATATAATGGGTGGGTGGGTACGAGGCCTGTGGGCAGTAGGGACCAGGTATGGGCAGGGCTGGTGCCGCTGTACCTCCTACCCACAGCCCTGCTCAAGGCCGGGCCCTCACCTGGTCCTTGAGCAGCAGGGCCAAACGCTCGCAGAGCTGGCTGGCGTCGATGGAAGTGAGGGCGATGTAGAGGAAGAGGCCATAGAGCACAGGCTTAGGGATCCACTGCAGCGGGAAGGGCAGCAGCAGGAGGGAGAAGCCCACCAGGATGCTGGCACCCAGGGTGGTCAGCCGCGTCTCTTTCACGTTCACGATCCTGTGTGGTCCCAGAGCACCAGGTCAGCTCCAGCCCGGGGCCACCAGGCCATGCCTCACCTCGGTCACATGTGGTTCCCAGGCTAGGACACTTCGGGGCCACATCTCTCGCTAGGTCACATGTGGCTCCAGGTTACTTTACCTTAGAGCCCACGTGATTCTTGCCTCAAGGTGCTATCCTCACACTCACGTCTCATAAATGTGCCCATTCTCCACACGCTCCTCTACGAGAGCCAGCGCTCGCACGTGCAGCGGGGAGTGGGGGTAGGCAGCATGGATCCAGGGCATCCCAAACAGAGACAGCCCCGTGTTGATGATGGCGATGAGCAGGAGGTCCCAGTGGTAGGCCGTGCCCTTCACTAGTCTGCAGCACACAGGCAGGGACATGTAGATAGGACCCCTGCTGGCCCCTTGGAGGGTGGGGCACCCTGCTCAGCCCTCCCTGCTCAGCGCACCGCCCCCCCCCCCGACCCCCAGCCCTGCAAACCTGTTCTCTGGTGCATTAGCCAAGGCAGCCACCAGGTTCTGCTCAATGAAGAAGAGCATGGAGAGCAGGAAGCCGAGGCCCATGGCACTGCTGATGGCCCCCAGGGACAGCGAGTGCATCTCAGCCATCTTAAACAGGCTCTTACTGGGGTTGTAGCGGAACTTGCTCACTGCAGCAAGGTACAGACCCCTGCTCCAGCCTGCAGCTCCACGGGAGCCCCTCACCCAACCCTGCTCCTGTCCCCACACAGTCACAACTCACTCTTAGTTTCCTGGAAGCCGTAGGAGCAAATGAGGGAGAAGGTGAGCACGGAGATGGGCAGGGCGCAGTCTGACAGGATCTCCCGCATGCAAGGGTGCAGGTAGGGGCTGGGGACACAGGTGGGTGTTTCAGCGCAGTCCAGGGGCTTGTGTTCCCTTACCCTCGCCTCTAGGTCCCTCTTACCTCTTCTTGAACTGGTACAGGGTGTAGCCCAGCCAGAGCGTGCCCAGCATGATAAGGAGGCTGAGCACGGCTGTATCCCGGCTCAGGTGCTCGGCAGAATGGACGCTCATCGTGGTCAGCTCCGGCGGGCTGGCCAGGAGGCTGGTGTTGAGGGCAGTGTGGAAGCTGGTGTTGAGGCTGGTGTTGAGGCCCAGCAGGCCCACCAGGGAATTGCGATCTATGTTTTCATTCCCATGGTTTTCGCCATAGTAGTACTTCTGGAAGACTGTGGATACAGGCCAACAGGCCTCAGCCATCTGGGTTCTGGGAGACTAGGGGGAGCTGGTCTTCTCCATCAGCCAGGATCCCATCGACTTGCTCATCCACCCACCACGCCTACCACCTGCCGCAGTCCCTCTGCCCTGTCTCTGAGAGCATATCAAGCCTGGCCCAGTGCCACTGGATTCTGCCTGGGGCAGCCCCGTCACCCTCCAGCATATGAGGCTGCTGCTCCGCAGAGCACCCTGGGGCACAAGAACCACCTCAGCTTGCGTGCTGCTTTGTTGCCCCAGCCATAGCCCATAACCCTCCTCTTAGCTCTGATCCCTCTACAAGTAGCGACTGGCCAGATACCCACTTTTGACCATGCCCTTGACAGCATCCAGCATGAATGTGATGGAAATGAACAAGGCAATGATCTCTTCTGTTGACCTGCCGGGGGATGATATGCCTCGTAAGATGGGGGCGAGTTGTTGTGGGGGAGGATTCCCTGAGCCCTGGTG